TTATTATTATTATTATTATTATTATAAGAGATCTGTGTTATAATACAAAACAACACAGTGATACAATTATATCAAACAATGCTTTGTGTGTGTAAATGCATGGTTCTATCTGAATGGTATATAAGTAGTAACTTTTTAAAATCTATTTTGTAACATAAAAGACAGTGATTACCAAAGTAGAATGAAATTCAGATGCTTATGTTCTGCAGGTTTAGGTATAGAAACAGTAACTAATGTTGCAGAAGTACTGATTTCTGGACAATCTTGGGATTCTACACTCTCACTTGTTTTTCTGTGGTCTCATTACAGTCATCTATCACCAACAGTGATATCATGTTTGTAAAAGTTCACGCTCCCTGGGAGGTGCTAGGAAGATATGCCGAACTTATGAATGTAAGGATGCCTTTCAGGTAGGTAGACACAGCCCATTTTATATTTCCCTGGTCAACAAATATGTCTAAGATACATTAGTTACATTTGGAAAGAATGATACAAAAAATATTGTTTGAAATACCAAAATTATTTTTTAGTGCTTAAATAAAACTGCCCTAACCACATGCCATAATAAGAAAATTCTCAGCAGCAACAAAAGAAGTACTCTACAGATACAACCAAAAACATATGTCCGCAGAGACAGTCAGTACTGTACTAACTCAACCAAAAACATGCAAAAAGACACAATCAGTACTGTACAAACTTACCCAGAAACATGTCCACAGAGACACGAACAGTACCGTTCTAACTCAACCAGAAACATGTTCGCAGAGATACAGTCAGGACTGTATTAACTCAACCAGAAACATGTCTGCAGAGACACAATCAGTACTGTACTAACCCAACCAGAAATATGTCCTCAGAGATACAGTCAACACTGTACCAACTTATCCAGAAACATGTCCACAGAGACACAGTCAGCACTGTACTAACTAACCAGAAACATGTCCACAGAGACACAATCAGTACTGTACTAACTCAACCAGAAACATATCCACACAGACACAATTAGTACTTTACTAACTCAACCGGTACCGTTCGAACTCAATCAGAAACATGTCTGCAGAGATATGACTAGTACCATTCTAACTCAACCAGAAACATGTTTCGCAGACACACGATCAGTAGTGTACTAAGTCAACCAGAAACATGTCTGCAGAGATGGAACCAGTACATTCTAACTCAACAGAAACATGCCTGCCAAGATATGATCAGTACTGTTCTAACTCAACCAGAAACATGTTCGCAGACACACGATCAGTAATGTACTAACTCAACCAGAAATATGTCTGCAGAAATATGATCAGAACCATTCTATCTAAACCAGAATCATGTCTGAAGAGACATGATTGGTGCTTTACTAACTCAACCAGAAACATATCCACAAAGATACAGTCAGTACCGTACTAACGCAACCAGAAAAATGTCTGCAGAGACACAATAAGCACCAAAATAACTCAACCAGAAACATCTGCAGAGTCATTGTCAGTACCATACTAACTAGAAACATGTCTGCAGAAACACAATCAGTACTTTACTAACTCAACCAGAAACATGTGCACAAAGACAGTCAGGACTGTACTAACTTATCCAGAAACATGTCCACAGAGACACAGTCAGCACTGTACTAACTCAACCAGAAACATGTCTGCCGAGCTACAGTCAGTACCATACTAGCTCAGCCATAACAACTATGCAGATATGGTTGACGTTGCTGCAATTTTACTTTATTCATGCCTGTTTTGAGTCAGTGCATCAGAAAATATTAAAGGACTAGTAAGACTGTAGCTAGCTTTTTGAGAAGATGGTCAGCAACAGAAGCCCATGTGTTTTTCCAGTACAGGTGTCCTTGACAATTGCAATTAAAAAAATTGTTTTCTCCATAGTTTATGGTAATTATTTATTTAGTATAACACGTAGGGGAAAATTAATTGAGAGTGAAAAAATTAGCTGCATGTCGGTGAGGATGATGCCCTGATGAATGTCAGTTGTGTAGAATGTACAGTTGTCATTGTCCCATAGATACGTAATGAACTGCCATCCAGACAATCAGCGGGCTCAGTCCTGTACAAACACACAGACAATCACACAGCTAGTGGAATTAATCTTTTAATGGCTCACTAGAGGTTATTGGGGACAAGTACAAATAAATTATGTATACATCATTTATAATTCATGTCTTAGTTTATCGCAATGCTATTAAGTGAGCCACAGTACAGAAGAGCATCAACCGCCTACAGACTAAAATTAAAGTAATGGTGCACAGAGATAATATATATGTGCAGCTTTTGAAAAAAATAAACTTGTTTTTTTACCTGCGTAATACATGCTGTCAATAACATTGACCTGCTCTTGAAATCCTATGTTATTTATATACTTATGTACGTCATATTTATAGATAGTGGTACTAGGCGTTCTCATACATAAGCCCAAATATGTTGATTTGATTCTCTAATTTAGTACACTGTAGTAGTCTTCCCATGCCATTATAAATACATTTTTACACCAGATTTGACCCAAAGCATTTTATCAAGTTTTATACCAGCACTCGCACCATATTCAACACCATAAAAAATGAAATGACCCTTGACTACAGGCTAGTGACCACTATGACTGACAGGAGGGGAGCGACTTTAGAAAAGCAAAAATTGTTGGATTTAAAGAGTAGAGCCGTAGTATCCTTGCTGGCCCCTTGACATGCTTTAGTGAATAATCCTGATGGGTAACAAATAATACAGGTATGGCTTTGGCTTTGTTGGCTTTGCACAGCATACATTTCAAATTAGAGTGACATACGGTATTTAATTAAGTCATTTTCTGGCAGTAAGAGAACAGTGCATGGCTTATTTATTTAGGGTTCCTCATACACAGTGGAAAACCAGTAAACCATGCACAATAGCAGGTCTTATATACTTTTGCTTAATAATACAGAGAAAATAAATAATGTAATTAATAGTAGCCAACATGTAATCAAATTCACCAGCATAGATATATGTAAGCATCTTTAAACTAGTTTCTAAATACTGCTGGTGGGATACATCCATTACTAACACATGACCCAGTAAGGTCCTACTGTGTGTCTGATTCAGCAGTCCTTGTTTTTTTCATGTAAGTGGGTTATATTGCTGCCTTCGGTAGGTGCTGTTAACAAGTAGGTATTATATAGTCCATATTTTGCATCAGAGTATAGCTATACTGCAAGGTTACTGCACATCATTGTTCTTTGCACTATTTCTTTAAGCCCTTTTTGTGAAAATAATAGTAGTGTTCCCAGAAATTAAAATAGATCATTTGTGATGATATTGATGTTGCAAGACAGGCATGTGTTCAGCTAAATGAGCAAAAATCATGATCATCATGTGGCTGTATGACAAATATAATTTCAGTACCAGATGAGGTATCTTAGTGCACAGAAGCCTTGCATATATGTTGTGGGTGTTGGTAGTATGATACATAAGGCGAACAAGGTGTAGGGGGCATTAGTTGTGTATAGCAATGATGACACAACAGTCTCCTGCTGACTGCTGTGTGTGTTGATCTCTCTAGTCTCTTCCTCCACCTCTTACAGGCTTCTGTCTTCAATCTCCTTTGCTTTCTTGTTAGTTCATACTGTAACTGTCGATGGGTTTTCTTCCCGACTGGCTTCATTTTTGCTGTTCTTCCAGGAGAAAAATCTATTACCTGCACAGACGATACAAGTTCATGAGCAGGTCAGTCTGACTCACCTTTGATTTTTATCTCAGCTCATATTCAATGTGAATAACTTTTCAAAGTTGTGGACATTTATCTGTGAAGTCCTGCCAAATGTAACACAGATTTTTATCATTCCACGGTCAGCTATTTTTACATTTATGTGGGAACAAAATTTACACTATAAATAAAGCAAAATGCAAACAAATAACAACAGGAAGTATATAGGCTGCCATGGCTGGCCCCTCCTTATGAAAATCCTAGTTTCCTGGCTGGCATGTTGATCTTATAGCTCCGGTGCTTTTTAAGGCACTATCCCAACACAAGTATGCAGATTCAAGACTTCACTCTTAGGCCCTTTTCAGACGGGCACTTTCAATTCCGATCCATAGGGGATGCATTGCACAGATCCCCTGCTGATCGAAACAGATGTCACGGTTGTGACCCATGTTGTTAGACGGCACCCATGCCAATCTATGTGGAATCGGATGTAAATGTGCATGTGTCTGTTTACATCAGATTACCTCCAATTCGGCACGGTCAAGTCTGTTGAAACGGAACTGTGATCCGTTTGTTTTTTCAGACCTGGCCAGAGCCAAGGTGTAACCAGATGTAGTGTTACAGACAATATCAATATAATAGAGTTTGTATTTTAAAATGTATATTTGTAAAATACCAAACAAATAATTATAAAAATGTAATGCACTTATGATATCTTGGATGTTAAAGGCTTTATGTAAAATATATCTCTTGTATGCTTTTTAAGGATGGAGAAGCAATTAAGCAGGTTTCGGGGATGGCTGCCTAAAAAGCCTATGAGATTGGACAAGGAGACAATTCCAGACCTGGAGGAAAATGACTGTTACACTGCACCCTTCAGCCAGCAGAGGATTCATCAGTAAGTTAGGTTTACGTTAACCTGGAATTTACGTCAGGGGAAAACACCTATTGATCAGCCACATTCAAGTTACTGTTTCTGTTCAGTATTCTGTTACTTATTCATGATAGTCTCAAATTAAATAGCGCTATGTTTGCCATCATAGCAGCCTGGGTGGTCCAGGGTCAAGATTGAGTGGGTGGGGTTGGACTTGAAGGTAGTTAAAACATTGTCACTCCCTGCTTTATTCATTGGTTCCACAACGTTAGTTTAAAGGATGGCTCCAACTGCCTGTCAGAGTATTCCAAAGTGCAGGTTACTTTGTTGATCCAACTGCTCAATGTTGCTTAGTTTGTGAACTACTACCGCTTCTGTCATGCCCCAAAAGTGGGACACATTTCTTGATCTACTAAGGACTTAATTAACTGTGCTGTAGAAGATCCCTAGGAGCTGTGAACTGGATGATGATGACGTGCAGGAGAAGAATGTATTACCAAAAGTGCTGCTTCAGGATGTTTGCAATCAAGTATCAAAGAGATGGCATGGTGGCCAGTTAGGTAAGCATTAATAGGACTACAGGACTCTAGTCAGATTTCAACAAGACATGTATTCCTGTGCTACTAGCAGCAAAAGATTGTGCCAATAACCCATGGTGCCCTTGGATATTTTTTTTCCTGGCCCTGTGCCCCTGTGCCACTGAGGGATTTGCCTGGTGTAGCTTGTGCAAGTTGGGTCATTTGTTTCTTGGATATTTTTTCATCCTTATTGACATAAACCATCACCATGCAAAACTGAGAGTAGCTGTAGCCTGGTGTAGGGGCTTATGATGTGGACTTTTTTTATATGTATGTAATGGGAAGCCCCATTGAAATGTCCTGTAATTTCTAGTTATCAGTTATGAGTCTAGTTAATGTTTATGTCAGGTTATTTCCATTCTTTTTTGAATTTTTTAAAATAATGAATAGGCTTTTGTATAGAATAAGCCTTAAATAGTTATATAACTTTAGAGGATTACTAATGGCAAAGCCAAGGTCTGCTGCAGAACCAAGCTAAGTGTTTAATTGACTACCTATGATAAAGTTGTGTTGAGTGCCATACATGGTTGAACATGTAAAGGCACCTATCTTCACAAAATTCAATGTGTTTATAGACATGAGATAACATTGGTGCTGGATTAGGTTATGATCTCATGTTTTTAGGTGGCTGCAAATGGACCTGCTGGCAGCTACAACTATTCTTACAAGGTTACAGGGCACTCTGCAATGTGCTACACATTGCTTAACTCATAGGAAGTATTGTGCCAACACAAATTAATGCCCTCTCATAAGTATGGGCAACCTTAGCATCAGCTTAAGCAAGGGTTATTAAAAATAATTCAACAGTGTTCAAATATAAATCAATTTTATAACACATGCTTTTTTACAACTTAACTGGAATAAAAAATCGGTTAATTCCCGCCATCCTTTTACTACATTACCAGCACCAGGTGTGCATTTCCTAAAATCTATCACTATATGGTATGATTGGAACTGAACAATGCAGCAACATGTTCAATACATTTCTAATGAAGCTATTATTTATGTGCTGAGAACAGAGAAGAAAGTGACGGAGGGCAATTATAAATGCTGGCTAATGGGGATTGTAAGTAAACAACTGCTTACTTCGCTGTATGTTCAAGAGCACTAATGGTTTATGGGGTATCACGTGGCAGCTTGCAACTCTTCATTTTTGTATGATAACAATAGTGACACAGACACAGTAGACTGAAAAGAGGTACAGTTTACTGTGTACACTTTACTAACCTTCAGTTTGGATATACAAATGTAATAAATGGTGTCTAGGTGTGCTTATATTTTTCTATATCCAGGGACAATGGATAAATTAACAAATTTGATAAATTTGCATGTCTAACTTTTCTCTTCTTGGGCTTTAAGATGTGTCATCACAGGCACATGTCAGTATAAACATTGCTTTGTTTACAAGCCTGTCTGCAGTCTGCATTATCAGTTGTACAGAGCAACATGACTGCAGGCCAGGACTAAGAACAACAAGGTAGGTATCTACCACATATTTATTTTTGATTCTGTGTTTTCACTGTTGGGAGCTATAAATGAGGATTTCCATATTGTACCACACTCTTGTAAACCAAAGAAGAGACTGATTACAAATTGCTAAAGAAATGCAACCCCTGAAGAAATTTAACTAAGCAGTATCCGTCTCCCATTCCATGTGATAAAAGACAGGATACTGTACAGTGCATACTACAATCAGTCTAATTTTTCAAAACACTGGTCTGGACTTTTAATGACAGATCTGAAAGCATAGGAAAAGGAAATGCAGACAAATAATAAGTTATATTTTCAAGTTGCTTGTTATCTCTGGATATATTAAAATTGCTTGTTTGTTTTAAATTAGCATTAAAATCTACATAGTTGCCAGAATCCTCTTCTTAAAAAAATGTAAATGTAAACCTTAATTAAATAGTAATCCAGTGGGTTACATGTTTTCAGTACCACCCTCCCGCTGAGCTCATTACAGTCTTTAATCTCTATTATCTTTAATACACAATTTAATCATTTTTATATTATTATTATATTATTATTATTATTTGCTATTTTACTTTATTATTTTATTGTAATATTAAGGTACACTGCAGGGATATGCTGGTAGGTTAAAGTGACACTAAACTCAGGAGTTAAATCTTTAAAATGCATTCAAGTACCCTATTACTGTAGACTGTCAGCTCCTTGAGCGCAGGGTCTGATGTGAATGTGCAGTATGAAAATTGCTGCGTAAATTAATGGTGCTATAGAAATAAAATAAATAATAAATATCTCAGATATATCAGTGCTGACACATCAATTATTCTAAGAAATGACTAGCACCTTGTCTGCAAGTACTTTTAATTATCTTCAAATCAATTTCTGAGCACTCCCAACAGCTCCTGGATCCCAGATCCACACTCTACCAAAGATCTTGGCTTCTGCAGGAGTTTGAGCTAAGTCCAATATGAGAGTCTGTACTGGACACTGAAGCTTTGGATTTCAAATTTAAAAAAAGCCTTTTGATGTTGGAAATGAATCAAAGCAAAGGTTAAAGCAAATCATGAGTAGAAATGTAACCAAATTGGTGTTTTTATGTTTAACAAAATATCTGTACTGAGAGAAATATAAAGGTTGCCATTGCTGACTTTCTTCTGAGAATTCTAAATGCCTAGCTTGTAAAATATAGATCCAACAATATTAATAACATCTGAGTCTCCCACAACCCAAACAGCTATACATACCTGACATCACTGGCTTCCATAGTTACAAAGTTAGTCAGGTTAAAAAAGAAGACACATGTCTATTGAGTTTAACTAGCAGATAAAAACCAAATAAGCCACATTTGATTGTGAAAAATACAAACAGAACTTTAAAAAGCATGGCCCAATTTACTCCAACAGGGTGCAAAACATTCCTTCCTGATTCCTAAATGCAATTTCATACTCTCCAACATTTTTTGAAACAATCTACAAAGTTGGCTAGAGCTAGTTCCTGTCAAAGTCCATTTCACATTTTCACAGCCAATTCCAGTTCCAGGTCAGTGACTCTAGCTTGAAGCCAGATACAGCCAGATAACCAGCATTTTTAGAAGGTAATGTCAACCATTGCATCTCTCAAAGTACATGTTTCTTTTAATCATTGAGGTTTTCGCTTATTTGATGGATTAACATTCTAAAAGGTGACATTGAAAATATATTTATAGTGGCTTTATAAATATAATACAATAATATTGTAATAATAATTCTTGGAGCCAATTGTTGTGGCTCAGTATGTCCTCACTTGCACCAACACGTTTTATGGAATATTTATTTGGTGGAAACACTCTACTAATGAAGATGCTGATAAAGTAGGACCAGTACAAGTATCTGCTCTATTATTTTATTTGATACAAAATTGCCTCTTTGTTATCCCACAGTTTTATCATAAACAACAAAGACACCTTTTTCAACAATGCCACAAGAAGTCGGATTGTGCATCATATTTTACAAAGAGTTAAGTACGAAGAAGGGAAAAATAAAATAGGTAAGTCCTGTAGCTCAGATTGCAGGTACATTTAAAGCCAGAAAAACATACAGATGTTTTTGTTTTTTTGCTAACCTTTTTGTATAGGTTAGTTTTGAACTTTCCTCCTGCTAGTTTGAGGTAATGTTTCCTTATTCTTGATCTCTGCTTCATAATAAAAAATACTGTCCTTCTGAGCCCTATTTGCACCCTTAATGTATTTAAAGGTTTCAGTTATGTTCCCCCTTTCCCTCCTATATTCATCACTCTACAAATTAAAGTGTATGTTATGTAAAAAAAACATTTTTTAAAATTTTTTGGATATCTTGGATATTTTTTGGACATTCAAGTAGAGCAACCAACATGTTTCGGGGCTCCAATGCACATCCCCTTCATCAGGACTTAATGAGAGAAATCATGTATGGGATCTACAATCCCTGCATCTTGAAAATTGTATTGCGTTGTGAGGAGAGTACTTCTGGCTTGTCAGCAGTTGGTTTGGTAGCCAAACCAGCCAAACTAAATACTCCCTTCACAACCTAACAACAACAAGGACACAATGTTTCTGGTGACAAATGGGAATTTCTATCACTCTCCATTGCTAATGTGTCTCAACAAATCAAGCATTTTTACAGTATCCAAAAAAAAAGAAGCTTTTGGCTTTAATGTTTTTCTGCTAAATTTGCTTATGTACTGGATTTATGATCTGTCAGCACTATCACACGAAGTGTCCATAGCCCTGTGTAAGCTGCGACCCTGGTGCCTTGCACAGGATTTTCATTTGCTCCTGGCAGCTGAATGGAGTGTATGTGCTGATGGGGAAATAAAGCTGCCCTGCATGGACAAAACACATGTTTACTTTAAGTATCTTGAAAGACTGCTAAAACAATATACAGTTGAGGAGAGCAGGACATAGACTATAGTCAGACAAGGGCTAAACAATGGAAGAGACACTGACCCCAGAGTACAAAGGGAAGTCCATTTGGATCTCTCAACATGGGTCACAAACTCACACAAAACCCTTGTAAATATTTTGTAATAAGAGGCAGCTTGATGTGCTATCTGCACTTTGCTTGATAGTTTTCTTCTATTATTTTTGTTCCTGTACCATAATTGAAAGGACACAAAGATAAAATAAGTATTGTGGCTGACATAAATAAAACACAGCAAACAAAATGCAATATACCAAGAATCCATATATTGTAGATTACACCAATTTATCAACATGTGTGGTGGAACATTATGTATTCCCTAGATTACTTCATGGGAGGAAGAGAAACCAAGTAATTTAAATTTCACAAACAATAAAAGAGTCTTTATCCTGGGATCCATACTGTATTTAGGTGGCTATATATATATTGTGAATTATATTAAATTTTTGTAGACATCGGTCTAAAATTGACAGTTGTAGACAGTGGGAAACAAATGTTTTATTTCCTGCACAATATCACAAAGAAGAAGGGGACATTTTGATGGTATTTTTATTATACTTAAAGGTTCTGTCCACCCAACACTCCTAGTTCAGTAACTGATGATACCATGAACTGCAAATCAGATTCTGATATCTCATATGGACTCCAGCAGTGGGAAATTCCATTGGAGTTTCATGGTTCTGGTTCTTCACACCACTAATATAGAGTATTATGCTTGCTGCTGGAACATGAGTGTTTTCATTCATCCGCCTGCATTTTCTGTAATGTAAAATAAAATAAAAATCTGAGGGTGAGTGAGGCCCCATTGTCATGTCTATGACAGATAGATGATGGTGGAAGCTGAGGTCCAGATATAGGAAGATAGTCAATTAGGTGCTACTCAGAGCAGAAATGATAGTCATGGTTGACTGTCCCTTTAGAGTGAACCTATCTTGCAATATTCAAAATGTACTATTAATATTAGAGTTTGGGCATTCAACTGTTACACAACCAAATTAAACCATGTATAGCGAAATCTATCTAGGTATTTGTGGTATATTGTGGTATATACTGGGACTGGTAGCCCAAAAATAATCTGTGCTTAGCCCTATCTGCTCAAAAATACTATCCTATAGCAGCAGTGTTTTAAAACTCAGAGAGGGGTATTTACTAATGGGCCAAAGGATCCAGCCGCAGCTTCGGCTGAACCTTCGGCTCACTTTGGCTGCTGGACTGAACCTAAGGGCTGCTGTATGGGCTATTCACAATAGCCCATAAAGCAGCCGAAGGCAGCCAAGCGGCTCAGCTGAGTCAAACCCATATGCTTTGGCTTGGCTGAGCTGTAGTGACACCCGAAGCGTGGAGAAAGGTCGGCCAAAGGGCCGACCGTTCTTCACGCAAATGGCAGCTGGACAGCTCATTAAACAATAACAACTAGACAGAGCTGGCCGTGACATCACAGCTGGCTCCGCCCAGTTGTTATTTTTTGCCCAGGACCTGCTAGAAGACTCTGGCAGGTACAGGCCAATAGGAAACAGTTGGACGGAGCTAGCGGTGATATCACCGCTAGCTTCGCCCAATCGTTTATATTTTGCTGGCATCTGCCAGATTCGATATTATGCGGCACTGTCGTGGACAGCGCTGGACATCGTGATTGACCATGGATTACGTTGGTGGAGCCATTTTTGGGGGCTTTTTTAAAAAAATAAAAGACTCGTCAAAAACTTCTCTTTTGTTTTTGTTTTTTTCAATTAAAGGAATTTTTCTAAAGTCTGGTGTTTTTTTTAATACTTTTCATTTAACCCTTTAGTGAATGGGAAGGGGTATAAATACCCCTTACTCATTCACAAGGGGGGAGCGCATCTGGGTGCCCCTATATTAAAGGGGTACCCTGGTGTGAATAAGCCCCCCTGCCTGCACCCCCACAACCAATGCCCCAGGACTTGTGGGGAAGAGGCCCTTGTCCCCATTGGCATGGGGACAAGGTGCTTTTCCAGGGCCGACCCTGGAAAAGCACCCTCCCAGTGCCGAGGGGATGTAACTTGGTATGGCAGGGGGGGGATGCTCGCTCGTCCCCCCTCTTTCCTGCCCTGCCAGGCCTGTGCTCAGTAAGGGTCTGGTATGGAATTGCCACGTCCACATTTAGGGTTGCTCCTTAAAATTTCTAATACAACAAAAAGGCTAGAGCGCACTCACTGATGGGTAAAAAGTCCCCGAACGTTCCGGCAGTTGACATTGCCTCACACCCACACAGCCGCGGCTCAGCCTGGCCAGTTGAGACCGCTGTGTTTAAACAATCACCCCCGACAGCTATTAGACTGCTCTCCGACATCTCCAAACGAGCTGACACGCTGTATGCTGACACCAGCAACGTGAGTAAAGGTTTTACAGTAGTGGCGCTTTTTCATTTTTGTGATTTTATACCTTAAACTTTCTACCAGACCTTAAGGGCCTGATATGACTTTATGCGGGAACCCTACACACTTTTTTTTAAAATTTTACCTTGGGGTCCCTCCTAACTTTGCTACCAGACCTAAAAGGTCTAGTATGACCTTGGGGGGATCCCCATGCTTTTTTTTCTTTGCTGTGAACAATGCTGTGAAAACAAGTCCACTCCAAGGTGTGCAAAATATATCAAAGGTGCTCTTCCAATGTGATCAATACATCCACATCCACCCGTGCAGCTATCTTCAAAAAGCACTGCACTCACCAGAGCTTCCTGGTCATCTATTTAAAGATAGACCATCTGTGGTTGTTCCTAAAAATCAGCCTGCTCAGTTAAGCTTCTCTTCTCCTCCTGTAGCCGTTCATCCACTCCAGCTTATATCCTTCAATCCACCCGCATATACTCTCTGATCTCCACAGGTCCAGATTTAACTTCCTCCCCTCTTATTTGGCAGCTCTCCCAGGCTCAGAAACAACAAATACTACCTATCATGTAAAACCACTTACAAACACTTTATTAACAGTAATAGATTGCAGCAAACAGTTAATTAACACAGCGCCAACGGCTTAAGTCCAGGTAGGGAGATAATCTGCAGTAATCGTGGTGTGAAACACAAACGAGGCAGGCTCTCAAAAATAGGCTTTAGGGAAACCTCAACTCTGGACAACAAAACACAGAGAGCGCCTCCATTGCGTAAAAACTTTTTAATAAAGTAAATTTAAACAGATGCAAACCTACTCACAAAAGTCGAGTTTAAAAAGCATGAAACGATAAAGGCATGAGAGACTTAACCCGCCGGCATTGGTTCTGACGAAGGAGGCGTGACCTCGGAAACGTTAACCATCAGGGAGGAAGACTAGCCGGGCGGGTTAAGTTTCTCATGCCTTTATCGTTTCATGCTTTTTAAACTCGACTTTTGTGAGTATGTTTGCATCTGTTTAAATTTACTTTATTAAAAAGTTTTTACGCGATGGAGGCGCTCTCTGTGTTTTGTTTTCCAGTAATAGATTGCACTCACAAGTTAAAAGAAAAAATACTCCTTAAACAAACAGATCAGCAGTCCTATCCACTCCAGGGCGTCTGTTCGTGACAGTGTCAGCTTGCCCCAACCTTGCACTGTGTTATACATGGAATTTTTTATGTTTGATGTTATTTTATTAATTGATGTATTTGTTGGTCAGTTGTTTATTTAGCACTGTTTGCACTTGTGAGAGGAGAATATAGTGGGGGAGAGAGTGCGGTATAGATAGGTATAAATTTACTGGGACTGACCCTAAAATTTGAGGAGCATTGTGGGGATTCTTTTTGTAAATTCAATATGCAAAATATGAATTGCAATGGAATTGAAATTTTAATAAAATCACATGTATGGACAGCTGTAAAGCCAAACCATTGTGTAGCACTGCAAGTAGGAAACAGAGCCTGTGTATGTAACTAGAAAATACTGTATGTCTTCCCCTATATGTATATAATTTTAAGTTATACATGAAAGGTTTCTAAAACATGAACTTATTTTGAAAAGATTGTTTGTATCAAGCAATTGTTAGGTAAACCAATAAAACATAAAAAAAAAAACTATACCTTGTTTTTAACAGTCAACAATAATTATGGGAAAGAAGAAGAAATGCTGATTTATTATGTACAAAATGCAATGTGAGAACACCACTGGCGAAGAGCCGTTATAACCCCCTGACCTTATGGACCCAAGAATGGTTACCCCTCCATCCTCTGCAGTTAGGTCATTGTCTGCAGATTTTAGCTCCAGTTTAAGACATTGACTTTTCTAGTTGTGTGATTTGCCCGTCTCAGCAAATGTGTGTGCACATTATGGATTACTCAAGTGATTATGATAGCACTCTTCTCTTTTATGCTCCTTGATTATATAATGATCATAAAGGTGCTGGGGCTGTATATGAAGCATGGTCAGGACACGAATCTCTCTTGTAATCAGTATGAATGTGTTACTCATTAGGCAATAACTCAAAGCATTTAGTGAACAAATTTAACTTTAGACTCCTGTAGCTAAGTTGAAACACATAAACACTTATCCTGTTTGACTTTCACAGTTGAACTTCTTATTTTGTATTCGGTTAAATTCACAGAGTTTCTGTTTTTTCATGCATAGAGATGACCAATAAAATTAACTTGTAATCAATTTTAATTACATGAGCTATTAACTGCCTAAAATGAATCAGAAATATATTTTCATATCCTTATAGTGTTTGCTATATGCTTATACCAATATACTCATATACAGTTTAGTGGCTTTAGGGCTCCCTCAAATTGAATGAATAACTACTAGGTCAGTAATAAATTGTACATTTAAAAAACAACTGCAGCACAATGAAGATACCCTACAGAACTATAACCTCTTATCAATTACAGCCAAGGAAGGTGCCATCTTGGACTACAGCTCCCATGGTGCTGTACATGTGATTTGCTATAACACTAGCCGCTTTAATTAACCTTTCCATTAAATACATCTATTGTGGAGCTTGTAGTTCAGTTTTCTGAGCCCTTATACACTGATGGGGTTTGCATACAGCCATTGTGGCTCATCATGGTATTAGAGAGACTGTCAAACATTCTTCCTTCTTGTCTAACTAGTATGGGATAGTGTCACACCTCACATCTGCCCCCTGCCTGCCCACACACACACAAACAACTTCCTATTGGCCCATCAGTATGGGGGGGTCTCAAGGGATACCTGCTACTTTTGTTTTTGAGGATACATGTATTCTAAAAAGGTTAGTGCACCTTTATGCCCCTTTTACACCTATACTGTGTGGTGCATCAACGCATGTGCATGAACAGGTATTACATTAGGCCAGCCTCTTCATTCCAATGAGGTGCCAAGGTGCCACAATCAATCTAAAATTACATGTGTGCCATAGTGTGTTATGTATTGAAATGCAGTTGTGTCTGAGGTATGTTGCTTTAGTGGATTGCGTTGCCAGTTAAAATGCGGTGTGCGCATTTCTGTGCATTGCTGAAAGGCACATTAAAAGTTGCGCATTTCCACAGTGCATATATGTGAAGCAGGCCTAAAGTAAGCCTGTGAAGATTAAAGATTGTATCTGCCCTGTGAACTCTATCACACCTGCTGTAAAGTCTTTGAGACAGCTCAATACCGTTGTACTCATCATGTACGTATTCAATGCAGGAGGCAGATTCTGCCCCCACACTCTGCAGAAAGAATGTTCATACAACACCTCCAGCTGCCTGCAGGCAGCTTTCATTTATTTTCAGAGTGTGCTGGGACCCCCTAAAAGCAAAGCTTTCTGTTATACAAGTTCTGTCCAAAGCTTAGAATGTTATACACAGGCCCACCCCTTCTACCTCTCCATTTGATAATAATGCTTGATGTGCCATTTTTAACATGTGGGCCTTAATAACTCATTATGTGAGGATGTTGGGAGAGCTTTTAAACTGCATAAAATCAGAGTCAAGAAATTCAGAAGAATTTGAAATAGTAGCTTTCATTGCAGTTTGCATAGAATACATCTAATGAATATAACTTTTCCTACTTTTTCTCAGGTCTAAACCGCTTGCTTTCAAACTGCACCTATGAAGCTGCATTTCCTTTACATGAGGTACAAGTTAAACACGTATTTTACAAAGACTTTCAGCATAAATTCTATAAGAACCCACACCAGCAGGCCATGCTTAATGGTCACTGAATCCTAGTGCATTGCAGAGTTTACTTTTTCTTGTTAGTATTTTATTGAAATGTCATAAAAACATTCATTAAGTTCTGCTGGCCCAGATTTCAATCGCGTCGCACCACACCGCAGTGAAAGAAAGTACTGCATAAAGTACTTATTCCAGCACACACCACTGCAACACTGTAGTGTGAACTCAGCTAATTTAAAAAAGGGCAAATTGTCTGGCCCGTGCACTGGAGCTGAGCTGGAAAAAGCGAGCGGCCAGTGCCACCCAAACGCATCTGGTGTGAACAGGTCCTAAGTCAAAAGTTTGTGTCTTTGGCAAAATGTGTTTTTGTTTTGAATATTTTCTGACAATTTTTGTAGACATTAGGGCTTATCTATCTGGAACATTGACCAGAAGCAAAGTGGATTCTGTGCTTCCACTTGCATTTATGGGAAATGTGAAAAAAAATCTGTTTTTGTCATTATACTGGTTCATATTAGGGATGCACTGATATATCGGCTGCCGAAACATATTGGCCGAAAATGGCACTTTTGGCTCAATACAGAAAGTGCCATTTTCCTGCTGATACATCGGCACATCCCTGCTTTCTTTCCTCCCGCAGTATTTAGTATGTTGGATTAGGCAGACATGGGAAAATACATTTGCATGTTTTCCAGTTAATGAACATGAATCCTTTTTCTGATTTGCATTTAAGGGAGGCTACAGAAGTAAGAACTCAATAAAGACTCATGGAGCAGACAATCACCGTCACCTTCTTTTTGAGTGCTGGGCCTCCTGGAGAGTGTGGTTTAAATATCAACCCCTGGATCTTGTACGGTGAGTTCATTTCAGATTTATAGCAGTTTTGCACATAGTCAGCATATGCTGTATAACTATTTTGGCCTTTTACTCTTTTTGCAGCTTTTTAAATTTGTTTTTTACAAGCTGCTATGTTAATTGCCTTACTCTCAAACCAGCATGAAGAGTATGAGTGTGGTAGAGAAATTTATATTGTAAGCTCCTTTTGGGGGACACTTTTGAGATCCTTTTGGGGTCTCACTTCTATATAAATACTGGAAATAAATACACAAACCATAGGCTTTATAAACAATATTGTCTGTCCTGCACCTTTATTTTGAGTTATTTACAGTATTGTGTTCATTTCTTTGAGAAATGTTCAGATATTGTTAGTTTCCATTGGCGTGCGTCTACAGATTTTCATAGTAGCCAATTCAATGTTCACACAAACACAGCATTCATAAGATTTAATTTCATAAAGCATAATTTAATTAGTATTTTAATTACCATACTTTTGCATTACCATTATTATGACTACAATGAAATTGTTAGGATATTTATTTTTTCCAGTTTACTTAAGGTTTTACCGCATGCATGTTACTATTTGCAGTAATTTGTATGTAAAAGTCAGTTCATTAAAATTTTTCTAGTCATAGAGTGCAGAAGGGTGAGAACCTGGCAGGTGTTTATTGTTGGCTGTGTTCCTATTGCAGAGATTTCCTCTCACTTCACGTCCAAGCAACAGGTGTTAGACAGAACAGGAAGAAAAGAGAATTATACTCAATGAGACACAGTCTGCATTTTAAACCTTAAATAGATTCAAACCCTTCCCCACTCCATCCAAAACAAAAAAAAGTTGGGGTTCTTTTATGACTTTCTAAATGAGAGTCACTGCTCTCTGCAGGAAAAAGCCATAAGCTGACTGGTCAGTGATTCATGATCGTAGAGCTCTAGGTATATAGAACCAACATGTGGCAGCTGCAGTGTCCCATGCCTGCTTTAAGTATTGAGAAGAGTACATTTTACTCTCTCCAATACGTCTCCTTTAATTATTTTTCACTATGGAAATGTTATTCCTGTACACTAATTGTTTCTAACTATTGGGTTGTGGCCCTTCATACTGACCTATTGTCTTTTTTATTTCTGGCTTTATATCTTTTTATCAAAATTGTACCAAGGAGAACTGGAGGAAAGACTATTTAGGTCCAGACACATTCATTTACTGAATTTAGTCTAATGATATTTCCTATCATTTTATTTATTTTGCAGAACAACAGCACAAATATTGATGGTTGCTGTACTCATTTTTCAAAGCTAATGTATGTTTCTTGCATTGTAAATTACTGTATGCTATAATAACCACTATGAAACTTACACATTGCTTTTCATATCTGTGTCCCTTTACAGGAGATATTTTGGTGAGAAGATTGGCCTGTATTTTGCATGGCTTGGCTGGTATACAGGAATGCTGTTCCCAGCAGCAATAATTGGATTATTTGTATTCCTGTATGGAATGTTTACACTGGATAGCTGCCAAGTCAGGTAACCCTTATTCTCAGAATTATTACACATTGCTTTTATTAAGTTTGCTAAAACAAACTAAGTTAGCAAATTGCCTGCAAATGTGCTCATATATCTATCAATTTGAGCCGATTCGTTTATTTTGTTTATCTGTTATAACTTACCACCGGCCACTGAATGGCCAAAAAGTGCTTGAAGCCTATTGTCTGCAAACACAGTTCGGCTGATGATTTTCCAACATGTTCCTTCTGCAAAAGTTGATCTAATGATCCATTTATGTTGAGGGGCTATTGTCAACAGCGGATTGAATTTAAGCCGATTCCTGCTGAATCGGTCGAAATTTGCTCCGTGTGTACATAGCTTTGGTGTTATCAGCCTGCAACAGGAGGAGAACAGGAGAAAAAAAAAAGAGAGTAAAAAAAACTAACTGCTTAGAAAAATTGCATACAGTTACATATGGTGCTAAACATTTTGGGTTTACATACACTTTAAAGCAACCTTCAGTTTTTCGTTTTTGTTTTCATTTTTTGAATGGCCAGACTTACTCTAAAAAATGTTTCTTTGTTCTTTCATTTTTTTTTTAATGTCCTCATGTCTCAAGACGGCCGTGCCCGCACCAAGCTTTGTGCGTCCATAGACACACAGCGTGTGGCTGGCCACGCCCCCACCCTTGCAGTCACAGCTTGACCGATGGCAGAAAAAGCCTATGGCGTCGGAGGAGACGAGCGGCTGCAGGTAAGTGTGGGGGGAGACGGGGATGTTAGGAAAGTGCTGGGTGTTTTTTGCCTTAATGCACAAAATGCATTTAGGTAAAAAAACACCCAGCCCTTACTACTACTTTAAGTTCCAAGTGTAAATGTGTATGGACATGTTGTTACAGTGTAATCAATCACTATGCAGGAAGCTTAGGATAAAAATCTAGAAGGCTAATTTCATACCTCTGTATTTTAGTGCAGTGCATTAAAAAACCCCGGCTAGCTGCATCTCTTCTGTAGTTTACAACAAAATATGCCTTCCATAAGGATATTAGAATGTTAATTGTAAAATGCATATAAAATGTGTCTCATGAAAGTGAACGTAGTCTAAAATCTTGGGGCTTTCCTTCCTGATTTTGTTGTTGAAACAAAGATTTAGAGATGTTTTGCACAACTTTGGCTCCTAGCCTGATCCTGGGTAGTGTCTGCTGCTGAATAAATTCAAAGTAATTGGAGGCAGAAGGAGATTGAATTATAGACGGCCTATGCTAAGACTGCAGAAGCTGACTTGTGCCTGTTTCCAAGTTTATTAGCTCAGTAAACACTGAGAGTTGTACCAATTGTGTCTATATGAACTTTCCCTACTCCTCACCATATAGAAAGAGGGTGCACAGGGGATGGTTGACAAGGTAAAAGGTAGGGATCAGCGAATCTGCCAGGGTTCAGTTTGTTAGGGGTTCATTATTCTGCCTGAAGTCTGTGAAACCTGAACTTGGCATCAAGTCCCACTGAAATTCAGTCCATTTTCAATGCTAATAGACACTGCCATGGGGGACATTTAACAAAGCAAACACTTATAAAAAATTATATACGGCAGGTCAATTTCTTGTGAGTTTGAGTGTGATATGGGAAAAACACCAATGCTTTTAGTCACATGCTTGCTTTACCGGCCCGTAAAAGTGATCTGGCGACAGCTGAGTTGACAGATTTGCTTCTACTGTAAAGCCGGTTGCCGACTCTACAAATATGAACAGGGTCTGTTTAACCCCTTGGGGACCCATGACGAAATGATCCCATCATGGGTCGTTAAGGGGTTAAAATAAATAAAGTGAAAGCATTTAATTCTGTAGAAACTGGCCAGTGGCACGACAGTTTCATAGTATACTTTCTGAGCTTCTTTTTTTCACAATACCACACTGCATTGACTTAAAAAATTACTAAAATGTGAAAACAGAGTGCATCAAAACTTCAAATCCACAACCTTACAACTTGACTAGCGACAAGTTTTATTGAAGATTTGCAATAACAACTAGAATGTATTATTTGTATTTTTATTTCAGAGACAATAGCCACATACATTGTTTAGTGGCTGGACAGTATGTAAGCAGCTTGGTTGCACTTCAATATAAGAAGGCATGTTTTATCTTCAAATAAACACTAGAGTATATACAGTGGCAGACCTAATAACTAAAGGGCCCTGGTGCAAGATTTTATCTTGGGCCCCCCTCCCAAGACGGGGGTGGGGGGAACAGTACAATGCAGAATGGCACCGGCTATAGAAGAAGACAGCAAATCCCAGCAATACAATATACATACAGTGTACAATGTATTGCTGGGATATGTGGTCCTCTATAGCTGATGGTACATATACAGCGCAATATACCATCAGCTATAGAGGAATACAACAAATCCCAGCAATACATTTTTACAGCATGTGGGGGGCGGTGCAGGTAGTCTTACCTGCACACTCTTTAAGCAACTTTCTTCCGAGATCTTGGGACTGTCGGCAGCTGCCGTTCCCCCACACTGCGGTCTCCCTGCAACGACGTGATCATCTTGGCGGGCAGCGGCGGGAGAGAGCTCATAGCTGGGAGAGGCAGGGAGCAGGTGTGGCGTAAAGCGTGCGGTGCGTGTGGAGCCGCAAAACAGGGGCAACTAATCGAAAGCTTACTAATCGATGATGGAAAATGTTGACAACATTTTCCATCATCGATTTTGCAGCACACAAAAAATTGTTTAGTTTCATGTTTTGATTCGGATTTTGCGTTGCCCGATACTCATGTAAGGTTCCCGGGCGGGCCCCGAAGGCTGGTCGGGCCCCTTACATGGATATCGGCCGTACCCCCCTGACGGCGGCCCTGCCACTGAGTATATACTGAGTATATATATTTGAGGGCCAGTAGCCACAAATATTGTACATTGCAGTTCAGATGGCAGGGGGCATCAGCTACCATCTAGAGCTGCAAAAAAAGCTATACTATAACCACCTCCAGTGGTCTGAGCCCCACTTTGTCCAAATTATTTTTACTGCAATCCCTCCAATTTTTTTGTTTTTGTTTTTTCTTATTTTTTTATTTTATTTATACATATGTATTTTTTTTTTAAAGCTTTTTTATGTTTATAATTTTTAAAATGTTTTTCCATTTTTTTTTTAAAGTAAGACCATCCCTGCCCTCTGATCCATGGGTGTCAGGGATTTACCACTGACTCGAGCTGGCTGAATACGCATTCGAGGTACTAGCCTTCCCTGCTGCATGTGTCTGAGAGGGACTTCAGTGCTGTGGGGAGGATTTATGACTAATAAGATGACTTTTAATTAAACTAATTAGACCTGGACCACAGAGAACCACCAAGCAACCACTGCAGATGTTACAGAAAAAAATCAATACTAAGAAAAGACCAAGCACTTTATGGGTATATGGGCAGAAGGGGGTTGCAGTGCACCTAGGGTAAGGGTGTGCAGTATTGGGTTTTTACTTTTCTTTTTAAAGGATGCTTTTGCTTTTCTTTTAAATGATGCAGTGAGGTGCTGTGAAAAAAGGCAGCTCTTGAATGCACTGTCAGCAACAACTGACTGATGGCGACCAACACAGCCCTGGCTCGGCAGGGAGAAAAGGAGCGGCACAGGCTCCAGCTTCTCCTCGGATCCCTGCTGCTCTCCCCCACCTGTATGGGCAGAAGGCTCTGTGTCCTCGATCTCTTTTTCTATTTCAAAAGGGAGATGTCAGGGTCTATTTAGACCCCTAATATTTCCCCAAAGCCCCCCCAACAGTAACCCCCACACACACAGACACTTATAGACACATATTACTAGACATGCGCAAAGACTAAACATTTGTTTTGGACGAAATGAACGGAAACTAAAAATGTTTTCATTAGTTTCATATAACAAAGCTAATTTTTATGCTATTTTGAATTTGGCCACGAGCGCATTCTGCACATGCGTACCGTCATCCTGGAGGCGGGGCACATGACGTCACATACCGCACACGTCTGTTGGGGGGGGGGGAAAAAAAAAGGGGCACAATTTTCTGTTCTCGCCTCGGGCGCAAAGGGAACTAGCTACGGCTCTGCTTATGTCATCTGTTTATTAATAGTAAAAATGGAATGGTCATTTCAGAAAGATCTTTTCTACATTACGGATTTAGTCAGGACCATAAATTATATGTGATAGGGCCCCATAGCAACACAATTAAAGGGCTCTCTTGCCTCCATAGCTCCATCTCATAGGTAATTATTATAGTGATACAGAATAGTAATTGCTTTCATAGCTATTGTCTGAAAATAAACACCTTAATTTTATCCAGATCTGTTTGCTAAATGCTGTGCTACCTGCATAAATATCTATGCAACCAGATAATGTGGGGCCACCTTGGAAGTTGCATGGTCTGTTGTGCCTATAGTTATGGCCACGGTATCAGTAGTTAGCTTTGGATGTCTGTATTAGGTTTGCTGCTGTCTTGCTTATTGTACAGATTTCACACAGTTGTGGATATGCACGTAATTTACCATAGAAACAGGATCCTAGAAATGCTCCAAACCCAATACTCCTAAATTAAGGAGTTTAAACAGACGTTCAGTAACATCTTGGGCATATCAACTTAATTTCATTCCCCATGCATGTAGAACATTTCAATGAAGCTCCCGTTTAGGATCCCTTTCTGTTAATGCACTCACTCGCTGTAGAGTAATCATTACATTGTTGTAGGTAGCTAAACCTCAGTCATGACCAGGAATCTTTAAAAGTACAGGTTTCTCCATTGAAAATATAAGAAGCAATATACAGGTATGTCATAGATATGGGTAAACACTCTAGATCAGCGGTTCTCAACCTGTGTAACTTCAGGACCCACATTAGTCCTCGGTCATTAAGTCGCGACCTAGGTGCACTGCAATGGAATGCACGGCAGTGTGGGCTGCTGTGCTGTGACGGAGCTCCATCCATATGTGCATTGCTTGTACAGCTCCCTTGTGTGCCATGTAGAGGTGCTGGGAGCCAGAATGTGATGTCACTCCGGTCCAGGCTCCTCTACAGGAGACGTGAGGGAGCTGTAAGCAATGCATGTATGGATGGAGCTCCCTCGCGGCCATACCCACCCCAAATCGGCACTCTCTGCCGGGCAGGATATTTTGAATGGCTGTGCTGCGCTAGTGGGAGGCTGAGGAACCTCTCACCTAGAAAAGTGGAAGGCATGCGGCGACCCACTGAACACGGGGTCGGGACCCACTTTTGGGTCACGACCCACCAGTTGAGAACCAAGGCTCTAGATCATTAGTGGTAGGCTTATGTTAAGGATCAAACTCTGAGGAGTGCACATTCTTCACTTTTAGCCTCTGATGGTACAGCTGACTTGGTTTTGGGATACTTTAAGGTTGTGCCTCCCAGGTTTGTCCTAATAAAGACACCTGACATACAGAAATCTAACAAGCAGATATAAAAAAAATCAAAGCAGAAGGTTGGGTTGTGTGGCAGACAGACAGGGTGACTGGTCAGGGTCCAAACCGAGATTATGATCATGATAATTAGGTGAATACTAAAGCTAACAGTGCACTCAGCTGCCTGGTGATTTGCAAACTCCTACTATTTACCCAACATGAGAGCGAGAACTATGGATGTGGGGGGATTAAGCATCTGACCAGGGTAGTCACTTTAAGTGGGAGCCACTGGCACATTACCAAACCTTTTAAATCTGACGTAAAATGGGGATTGCCATTGCTGACCAACTTCTAAAAATGTTAGTTGACTGTCTGTTCTGCTTACCCCCTGGCTTTTACACTTTTTTGGGTCGCTGACCTGCAACAAGTGTGTATTTTAATGAAAGTTACCAAGAAATGCTGAAGTCCTTCAGCAAAGGCAGATTTATTTTAACTTCCTTTGATATGAAGAAGCGGAATATATATTAAGGTACCTCAAAGTACTCTGATACCAGTAGTCTGTTGTAATTGAATCTGCTGATGACATTTTTCATTGTCTCCACATTGATCATGTAAGGTACCTCCTTGCCTGTACAATGTTTAAAAAAATCATTATATTTACTCATTTTAATAGTCTACAGTTTAACCTTTGTTGAACTACGCTTTGATACATTAGTTCTGCATTCATGACTCAGCAAGGTGCTCTCTTCTAAAAGAAGCAGTGGGTGGTTGGATTACAACAGTCTCTTTTTTATTTCATACTGAAGCAGTTTAGTGCTCACTGTACTTTATGTAGTAATTAAAGAAAAGCTGCACAGTTTAGTATATACTAACATGACCACAGAAACACCTTTGTGTGATATGATCTCAATAAGATTTCTAGTGGATCTTTAAAACCCTCAAAGAAAAGCTTTTACCTTCTGCCTGTTTAAATTATAATTGAAACTTTAAACCTTCAACTAAAGCTGTCATTATTATATATCCCTTTACCACCATCTGCTGCATACCACATGAAATTTCAAATTAAACAAACAGTGGAAGTGCAGAGCATGAGGCACTGGCTGGCAGTTTTGCGGACGGTGTGTATATGTCATCTAGGTTTCTCATCTACACATGTGAGGGGCTCCAGGGTTTATAGCTAATGTGAAGAAAACAAACTTTTGTTTTTTTTGCAGAACCTGAATAGGTTCTGTTCTGGAGCCTGGAGGCTTTGTAGAGTTTTGGTGGTGATAAAGCCTCCATTTATAGGTCCACATCTTATCTGGCAGCCAGACCTCGTTATTATTCTTAGCTGTTCACAGTTGACTAATGATCAAGGATCTCTCTTGCTCTCTGTACTGTGTCAACATGCTGCTATGTGAAAAGGCTGAGTGCCAACAGAACACTAAAAAGGTATAAGTGCTGCCTGTTTGGTTTGGGGAACCCATTAGGGGGCACCCTGTCAGTCAGGAAGTGACCTGAGTTTAGTTACTGGCTCAGACGAGCTGATTTTTGTTAAACAAAGCCTTCCTGCATTTAAACTGTGTTTTATTGCGACCTTACTGAATAAATGTGCAGGACAAACCTACTTGGACTGTTCATGGGTGTCCATGTCTTGTGTATGGTTTACCACTGCTAATGCCAGTTAAGCGTTTACCCTTTACAAAAAACTGAGTGTTGAACTAAGGGAAAGGACAAACAGTAGAAGTGAATGACAAAACTTAGAAACTCTGGTCTTGAGGTGTTTTCATTACTTCTTCTGAAAACCTTATATGTCAGGCCCTGGGTAGGGTGAAGATGAAGCTCAGGGCAGGCAGAGGTAAGGCAGGGATACACAGAGTAATAATTCAGGCTCACACTAT